AAATATGTTATATGCTCTGTATTGAAAAAGTCTAATAGAATATGATATTAATCTATATTCTAATTATGAAACGAAGAAAAAATCAATTCAATGTTTAAATCAATTCCTCAATATATTTTTAATAATCATTCATTATATTTATTATGTTATTATCACTCTTATTACTCTCTTCTTTTTATTTGGTTCTTCATTTGTATTATTTATTTTATAATTGAAGATTTTTTTCCAATTTTGAATATTCAACAAATTTTAATGCAATGATTTTTGGATAAAACATTTGGGTATTGTAAAGAAAAGCAAACAAGACATAGAAAACCAAGGTTATACAATAAAAAAAAAAGAAATGTCAATAACAATAAATGGCATAATAATAATGATAAAAAAAATACCAAGAGAAAATGGTTTAGAAGAAGAAAGACACAAAGAAAAGCAAATAAAAAACAGTGTAAATACAATAATAATAAAAATTATACAAATAACAAATATAAATGAATAACAATAAATGATATACAAGAAAGAATAAAAAGAATAAAAAGTGAATGAAACAAAGGAAAGTATGAAGAAATACCCAAGAAGTAAGAAAATAAAAGAAAAAGAATGGTATAACATTCTTCAAGAAGTATATTCAATCAAAAAGAAAAAGATAATTGAAAAAACGAAAGAAGAGTTTAAAGAAAAAACAGACATTGAAGAAAATATATTAAAACAAATGAAGAAGAAATTAAAAACAAAAACACAATTAAAGAAATGAATGAAAGATGTAAAATTTCAAGAATAATAAATAACAAACAAAGTACAAAGAAAATATAAGAGGAAATACAACAAAACAAAGAAATAGAAATTTTAAATGAAGTATTGTATTGTTTTGCAATTAATTGGTTGAATAAGAAATTATATAAGAAATTAAGAAATGAAGAAATAGAAAGTATAATAAAAGTAATAAACATCAATGTAAATAATGAAAAAGAATATATTAATTATATTAAAATATCACATAAAATAAAAGAAAGTATTAAACTGTACATTAAAATGAAAGTAAATGATATAATAGAATGAAGAGTAGAGTGTAATTCAATAATAAAAAACATCATATTGAAGAATAACTCTACAGAAATTGATGAAGAATACTTTAACACTCTCATCAATAAAATAAAAGAAATGAAAATAGAAAAATATTCAAATATTAATTACTACTTTCAAAGAAAAGAAACTGACCGATTAATAATGGAAATTAATAATAGATGGATATGGTCAGGAAGCAGAATTGATTATCTGCAAGATGATATGAAGAGGATTTCAATGATTATGAACCTCTATCTCCAAAATAAAATAATAGGAGATAAATTTGATGAAATAAAAGAAATCCTAAAGAAAATAAATAGACTAGAAGATTTGGTCAAGGGAAGAAAATTGTACAGAATAAAGTGCATCATGAAATTAAAAGAATATGATGAAGAAGGAATAAAAGTCAAAGCACTAGAAAGAATAAAGTACCTAAAATATATGAAGACAATGATAAAAGAAAGAATTAAATTTAATAAGGAAGAAAGGGTCAGAATCAATACAAATAAAATCATGTTTGATTCTAATAAGAAAATTAGAATAAGGAAGAAACAACAAATGAAATATACCCAAATAACGATATTACTTTAGAATAATGGAAATGTTATATGAAACACAGGTGATATTAAATAAAGAGAAATGGAAAATAAAACAAAACACGATATTGAATGAAAGATATAGAAATTATGATAGTGTCATTATAACAATAAATGAATTAAATTCAAGTATAATGAAAATAAGTAACTGGAAATATTCAATGAAACAATATAAAATTAATAAAAGAAAAAACAAATATAAAATAAGAGTAACAAATAAAAAGAATAAAACCATTCTAATAAATGATATTAATAATGTATATCACAATGAGAATGAAAGTAAATGAATAAAAGAAAAATAAGTATAAGGAAATAATGAAATAAGAGAGAATAATGAATTGAAACAATAAAATAATAAATACAGAAAGTATTAAATTAATTAAAGAAATAAAAAATGAAAATAACAATATAAAAGAAGTTAACAACATTGTTAATAGAAATATGAAGAATGTTATGTAACATTATTTCTAATATATTCAAACATATATTGTAGAAATACTATAAAAAGATAAATAGACATGATTATTCTAAAATAAATAAAGAATAATACAAATTATTTCTATTAATACTTAATTATTAACTTTTTATTTTATTTTTCTTCAGTTGTTTGTAATAAAATAAATAACACTTTAAACCAATAA